CCCCCCGGTCTTTGCCAAAAAAAAGTTCAGGTTTTCTTTCCGGACCCCACTAGCATCCCTGAACAATTTTGTTATCCATGTCCCATGTATCGTGTTATTATAATGATAGTTTATCGTGTTTTTTGTAGATCATGACAGGCAATATCACATATTGATAAAAATAGAAATGTAACCTTTACCAACTTGTCACCTCAATTCAACCATGCCCCCAGTGTTTGCCTCTTAGGAAAATAAGTTGCTGGACCAAAAGCTCAGCCATCTTGAAAATTAGCTGGCTAGAATGCCTGCCGGGTGGGAAAACTTCTCTGCCCATTCTGAAAGTTGTCTGCCCCGGGCAGACAGTCCAGCCTTAATTTCTAACACTGCATGCCCCTGATCATGTGATACACATCAGATCAGTGAGGAAAGCTTTGCTTCTACCAAAGTGGATGTTGAAAACAAAAATCTCAAGTGTAGTTTGTGTGCATATCGGTCACACTGATGTCTGCCATGGTATAATACTCTTTAATTCTCCATTTACTATTATCTAAATGAGTCTGTAGCATATTTTCCAATTTATTCATGATACTTTCATCTTCTGACTTAGTTTAATGGTCAACATTCATTTATTTTTTTTAGATAATAGAAGCCATGCCACAGACTGATAATGTCACAGGATTTCTGGATACTCTGGGAAATTTCTATGAGCTGGTGGATGAGCAGCTTCCAGCACATGCAGAGAAGCTACGCAGTGTCCAGAAACGCACCCAAGCTATGGATGGGGATGTGGTCGGGGAGTCCGAACCCTCATCAGGCAGTGATGCTAGTGCAGGTAGGGTGCTTGTAGGGGTGAATGCAGACTTACACAGCACCTTGACTGTAACTGTTTTGGATTCAAATGACATCACCAAAGGATTTAATTTATTTTATTTGGAAGTATTTGGCAGATAAAGCTGCTACTCATTTTGATAAGAAAGAAATGACAAAATAAATTTACTTAGAATCAAGCTGGTATTTTTGAGATAAAGGCATTTTCTCTTCTGAACAATTCGTATGTGATTATATTGCAATGATGGAATAATGTGCAAATGTTGTTTTTTATTTCAGATTCTGTCATTGAAAATAGTGGAGGTGGAGAAGATAATGGAGATGTTGTAGAAGAAGAAGAGGCTGATGTGGTGAAAGTGCCGAAAATTGACCAAAATGAAAATGGTGGGTAAATTTTTGCATCATTTCAACCTGTTGGATATCTGATGTCATTTGTATAATCTGCATTCTCTCTCTCTCTTTCTCACACACACACACACACACACACACACATGGGCACAAAACAAAAGGCATTTCTAAAAGTTACATTCTCTCTCTCTACATATATACATTATACACATAAAATGTCACCATTACTGTACTACTTGGGAGTTTCACTCTGTTGATTTTAATTACTTATATTATTACAGAACACCTGCCTCCCAGCTACAAGTCAGATACAGACAGTGAGGGTGAGGTGTACTGTGATACATCAGATCAGCCAGATCTGGAAACTTTGGTATGTAGGAGATAAACAAATAATGAGCAATTTTATTCATATATATATGAACCCTTTATATATATATATATATATATATATTTGCTCAGTTGATGATAATTTCATAAACAAAACATTATTGACTGCAAAAAAAAAAAAAAAAAGCAACAGCATCTGGCTTTTAGAAACTTCAAATTAAAACAAAACAATCAAGAGGCAAACTACCAGTTGAAACTACTAGATGACATGTGATATTTAACATTTTTTCTGATGATCACACATTTATTTCCACAGGCAAAGATTGCAAGCAAAAAAAGTCACAGTGCCAGAAGGCCGTTGGTTTCCTCTTCTCCTCTCCGAGAAAAACTTAATGGTTTTGACACTGACTTTCAACCACTGCCCATGTCTCCTATAGTGTCAGGACAGACAGACATGTTGATGGGTAAAAATGGCCCCACTGATAATCACACACATTCCAATCACCAGCCTCAAAGGACAGTGTTGCCTGGAAACAGTCTTGAAAATAATGGAAGCTTGGATTTTGTTGGTCAGTTAAATCACAGGGGAGGGGAGGACGAAGTTGACAATCAGTTAGAGCCTCTGGATGCATTAAGTGCAAGAGGAGGCGGAGAAACGCCTACACCTAGTGAAAGAGGGAGTCGGAGGCATAGCAGGAGGGGGAGTGGTGGGAGTGTCAGTAGTAATAGAGGTAGGCCATGACACACACACACTCACACACACACACACACACACACACACAAAAATAATTTGAAGTCACACAGGATTTAATTTTCTGTGGTTATTTTGTTATATTTCATGCTGTTATAAGTAGGTTTTTCGGAATGTGCATATTGTAGAAGTAAGGCATTTTTAATAAAAAATTAACCTTTAATGATGTGGGACTTGGGTTTTTCTAGAATAACATATAGAACTGCAAATTTTGACAGACATGTTAGCCACTGTCTCAGTTATGGTTTGATATAATGGTGATATTATACATGAAATGATTATCTTAAGTGTAACATGATATATATATAATATAAGAGAGCACTCCATGAAAGGCAAAAAAGCAACTACTGAAAGGTTTAACAGAAATTCAGGAATTTCATGAATATTAGAGGAGAACTTTTTGAGATATATGGTGCACTAACAAAAAGATAAATCAAAGCCGATGAACACACACACGCATGCACATGCGCACACACACACATCTGGATAATAATATAAGTTATAAGTGATTATATTCAGGCAATCCTGGCCACCCCCAGCACCCTGATGTCCCGGGGTCCTATACATATGGCAGTGGAGGAGGAGGAAGAGATGACAGACAATACCATGTACCATATACAGACATCAATGACCAGATAGCAGCAGCACTGAATAGGTAAAATAATAATAATGATGATGATGTTGATGAGGAGGAGGAGGAGCAGGAGGATGGTGATGATGATGATAATATTATTTATTTATTTATTTATTTATTTATTTATTTAGAATCCAAATTCTGTAAAGGGTTCAGTAGACTTAACATCAAATGATATCTCTTACTGACAGTTTCAAATGGCCTAAAAAGAATGTTTGTTACTTGTAGGCTCCAACAAGACATGAACAGTGTATTAACAAGACTAAACACACTCGAAACACTGTCCATTGTGCAACAACAGGTATTATTTCTACAAATCAAGTTATGACAGGCAAATACAATTGTTGTAAATGTTCTCTGAGTATAAAATCTGAATGTAAGAGTTATCTCTATGAAATATGTAAAACTTGATTTCCATAGTTTCAAGTTATTCAGACCTTCAGTTTTGAAGTAGATGCTCATTAGATACATGGCTTGTGGATTTTTTCCATGATTTATTAGATAAAGTTTCATATAATTTATTTTCTGTTACATTGTCATCATTAACTTCTGTGACATGTTTTTGCCCTATAATTATGTGCTTATAATATCTTTTACTTGCCTCAGGTTCGGGACCGTGATGACAACACGAGTAGAAAACCAAACCAGGTAATTGCAGTCTTTAGCAACTATGAAGTGGTATTACAGTAGAAAAGGACTCTATATCTAGTTTTTGTAGACTCTAAACAAACTATTAGCTTCATATAGAGCTTTTAGCACTCCTATATAAAAGAATGTAGGTAGTTGTTTAGAGCTGAACATTGGAAAGTCCATGGACTATTTTGGGATGATATAAAACTGAGAATGTAACAGAATCCAAAGTTTTGTCTCACGTATGGTGAAGAGAGGAATCTTTAAGTTAAACTTATGTTTTCACATTTTCAGACCTCTTCTTGGTGGCCATTCCCCAATTTTTCTGGCAGAACAGTAATGTTTCTACTGGTCTGGCCAATTATAGTACACTGGGTGATTAGGTTTTTATCTGGCAGAAGAAGAAGGTAAGTTAAACATGTTCTTAAGAATCAAGTATTGTTTTACTGGAAACAAGTATTAATGAGATATCGATCTAAGGACAAACATATTATATTTGCTTTATGAAAAATCGCTTTTTTTGTTCACAGCCTTTTTTGATGTGAAGAAAATAGTTTTTCAATTATTATTAACCTGTAAAGAATTTTGAATAATTTTTTCTTCAGGCCAACACGGTGAAGCATTAAAAACGCTTGAGATACAAGGAGAACCTAAGCTTAATACATGGAGTCAGTGAATTCTTTTACCACCATGAAGTGAAGTGGATTTCAGACTTAATTCCTAATGTGGGTTGATACCATGTTTGTGCAATAGATGTATAAAATCACAACCATTGTAATGGATGTCCAATAAGTTATCCATCATCTGTGAAGCCTGTAGTAAGTGATCATGAGACTGAAATGAATTATAAAAGCCATGTGCCTTTATCTGTTGTATGGTATGGCATCCAGTAGGAATGTGGGCAGTGCAAGATGACAACACATGATCATATTGCTGTCTCTGCCAATGGAGGTGGTTTGTTCGTTTTATCAGTGTTGGTTTGATTGTGGACAAGAGGCCTCGAAAAGATTTTCATAAATTTTAATGCAATTCAAATGATGGACAGTTATTCAGGTAGGAAAGAAGTTTGGACAGTTTTAATCTGGGTTTTATAATATGTATAAAACAATTTTAACTGACTTTAAATCATTGTGATACACTGATAAAAAAAATGTTAGTGACAACTGCACTGAAAATATATCTAAATGCTAAAATGCAAAAAATCAGAAGTAAACTTATGGCTCAGTCTTGCCATTCAAAATGGATGTCACAAAATTTGTCAGTGAAACTATATTGAACACTTCCACAAAACACATTGTATTTCATAGATTTCTTGTCATGAAATATATTTTTTCATTTAGTCTGTAACAGTATTGTGAGTATGCATATTAAATTATTAAAAATGAATCACTCAAGCTGTAATTATTTTGTACTTATGTTCAAAGTTTCTAGTCATAAGGCAGAAAATCTAAAAAGAACTGAACCTTGCCTTATACTGAATAGGTCACTTCTTCAACATCAATTTAAGTAAGTTTTTATCTTATTTTGTGAAGTATTTTTGTGTGGACAATACTTGATGGAAGTATATTTTAATATTTCAAATGTGAATATTGTGAAAAAAGAAAAGGTAAGTTTACAACCAAGAACACAAAAGTCCATTTCATGAGGAAAATCAGTCTTGCATTTCAAATTAATTATTAAAGTGTTTTGGATAACTGGACCATTTTGAACACGCATGTAAAGTTACTTTCATAGCAAAGTTTAAAAGATAAAATAAAAGTCAACACAAGAATCAGTCTTTCCCGAGTTATCTTTCATATCAAAACTTTGTAGTATATACATGTGGCCAGTACTGGCTGTCCAAGGAAACTCCCGTAAAATGGGCTATATATATATGTAATATATATGTATGATAAAACTAATATCAAATACTCGCTGGTACCCAAACTTCTTTGATGAAACTTTCAAATGCAACATTCTAATGACGGCAGGTAACAGTAAGAAAATGGCATCTTTTGTAGAAGAAAACAGATATAAGGAGTTCTGTATGTGATACACATTATTTTATCACTCCGTATAAAATAAAACGCCAACTGAAATGAAGGGCTCAATTTAAATGAGATAGCTTTCAGTGATGATAATAGATGAAACACACAGTAAAAATTTAACCTCAGGCAAACTATTTCTTATTTACCAAATAAAGTTTCTTCTCAGATATATTTGTTAACCTGACGCACTTGTTTTAAGAATGACCATACTGAAATACATCTCAACAATTGGCCGCAGTTTTGAAACCAAACATTATAAATTGGATGACTCCTGCTTGTGTAAAATCAAAGAAGCATATTTTTTAAACATAATTCCCAATTTATCACTAAACTGGATTAGAAATCTGAATAACCTTAATTTTTTCTTCACTTCTTTNGTTTATTTATTTATTTAGAATACAAATTCTGTAAAGGGTTCAGTAGACTTACATCAAATGATATCTTAAGATGAAAATTACTGACAGTTTCAAATGGCCTAAAAAGAATGTTTGTTACTTGTAGGCTCCAACAAGACATGAACAGTGTATTAACAAGACTAAACACACTCGAAACACTGTCCATTGTGCAACAACAGGTATTATTTCTACAAATCAAGTTATGACAGGCAAATACAATTGTTGTAAATGTTGTCTGAGTATAAAATCTGAATGTAAGAGTAATCTCTATGAAATATGTAAAACTTGATCTCCGTAGTTTCAAGTTATTCAGACCTTCAGTTTTGAAGTAGATGCTCATTAGATACATGGCTTGTGGATTTTTTCCATGATCTATTAGATAAAGTTTCATATAATTTATTTTCTGTTACATTGTCATCATTAACTTCTGTGACATGTTTTTACCCTATAATTATGTGCTTATAATATCTTTTACTTGCCTCAGGTTCGGGACCGTGATGACAACACGAGTAGAAAACCAAACCAGGTAATTGCAGTCTTAAGCAACTATGAAGTGGTGTCACAGTAGGAAAGGACTCTACATGTATATCTAGTTTTTGTAGACTCTAAACCAACTATTAGCTTCATATAGAGCTTTTAGCACTCCTATATAAAAGAATGTAGGTAGTTGTTTAGGGCTGAACATTGGGAAGTCCATGGACTATTTTGGGATGATATAAAACTGAGAATGTAACAGAATCCAAAGTTTTGTCTCACGTATGGTGAAGAGAGGAATCTTTAAGTTAAACTTATGTTTTCACATTTTCAGACCTCTTCTTGGTGGCCATTCCCCAATTTTTCTGGCAGAACAGTAATGTTTCTACTGGTCTGGCCAATTATAGTACACTGGGTGATTAGGTTTTTATCTGGCAGAAGAAGAAGGTAAGTTAAACATGTTCTTAAGAATCAAGTATTGTTTTACTGGAAACAAGTATTAATGAGATATCGATCTAAGGACAAACATATTATATTTGCTTTATGAAAAATCGCTTTTTTTGTTCACAGCCTTTTTTGATTTGAAGAAAATAGTTTTTCAATTATTATTAAATTGTAAAGAATTTTGAATAATTTTTTCTTCAGGCCAACACGGTGAAGCATTAAAAACGCTTGAGATACAAGGAAAACCTAAGCTTAATACATGGAGTCAGTGAATTCTTTTACCACCATGAAGTGAAGTAGATTTCAGACTTAATTCCTAATGTGGGTTGATACCATGTTTGTGCAATAGATGTATAAAATCACAACCATTGTTAATGGATGTCTAATAAGTTATCCATCATCTGTGAAGCCTGAAGTGATCATGATACTGAAATGAATTATAAAAGCCATATGCCTTTATCTGTTGTATGATATGGCATCCAGTAGGAATGTAGGAATGTGCAAGATGACAACACATAATCATATTGCTGTCTCTGCCAATGGAGGTGGTTTGTTCGTTTTATCAGTGTTGGTTTGATTGTAGGCAAGAGGCCTCGAAAAGATTTTCAGAAATTTTAATGCAATTCAAATGATGGACAGTTATTCAGGTAGGAAAGAAGTTTGGACAGTTTTAATCTGGGTTTTATAATATGTATAAAACAATTTTAACTGACTTTAAATCATTGTGATACACTGATAAAAAAAATGTTAGTGACAACTGCACTGAAAATATACCTAAATGCTAAAATGCAAAAAATCAGAAGTAAACGTATGGCTCAGTCTTGCCATTCAAAATGGATGTCACAAAATTTGTCAGTGAAACTATATTGAACACTTCCACAAAACACATTGTATTTCATAGATTTCTTGTCATGAAATATATTTTTTCATTTAGTCTGTAACAGTATTGTGAGTATGCATATTAAATAATTAAAAATGAATCACTCAAGCTGTAATTATTTTGTACTTATGTTCAAAGTTTCTAGTCATAAGGCAGAAAATCTAAAAAGAACTGAACCTTGCCTTATACTGAATAGGTCACTTCTTCAACATCAATTTAAGTAAGTTTTTATCTTATTTTGTGAAGTATTTTTGTGTGGACAATACTTGATGGAAGTATATTTTAATATTTCAAATGTGAATATTGTGAAAAAAAAAGGTAAGTTTACAACCAAGAACACATAAGTCCATTTCATGAGGAAAATCAGTCTTGCATTTCAAATTAATTATTAAAGTGTTTTGGATAACTGGACCATTTTGAACACGCATGTAAAGTTACTTTCATAGCAAAGTTTAAAAGATAAAATAAAAGTCAACACAAGAATCAGTCTTTCCCCGAGTTATCTTTCATATCAAAACTTTGTAGTATATACATGTGGCCAGTACTGGCTGTCCAAGGAAACTCCCGTAAAATGGGCTATATATATATGTAATATATATGTATGATAAAACTAATATCAAATACTCGCTGGTACCCAAACTTCTTTGATTAAACTTTCAAATGCAACATTCTAATGACGGCAGGTAACAGTAAGAAAATGGCTCCAACAAGACATGAACAGTGTATTAACAAGACTAAACACACTCGAAACACTGTCCATTGTGCAACAACAGGTATTATTTCTACAAATCAAGTTATGACAGGCAAATACAATTGTTGTAAATGTTGTCTGAGTATAAAATCTGAATGTAAGAGTAATCTCTATGAAATATGTAAAACTTGATCTCCGTAGTTTCAAGTTATTCAGACCTTCAGTTTTGAAGTAGATGCTCATTAGATACATGGCTTGTGGATTTTTTCCATGATTTATTAGATAAAGTTTCATATAATTTATTTTCTGTTACATTGTCATCATTAACATCTGTGACATGTTTTTTCCCCTATAATTGTGTGCTTATAATATATTTTACTTGCCTCAGGTTCGGGATCGTGATGACAACACGAGTAGAAAACCAAACCAGGTAATTGCAGTCTTTAGCAACTATGAAGTGGTATCACAGTAGGAAAGGACTCTATATCTAGTTTTTGTAGACTCTAAACAAACTATAAGCTTCATATAGAGCTTTTAGCACTCCTATATGAAAGAATGTAGGTAGTTGTTTAGGGCTGAACATTGGGAAGTCCATGGACTATAAAACTGAGAATGTAACAGAATCCAAAGTTTTGTCTCACGTATGGTGAAGAGAGGAATCTTTAAGTTAAACTTATGTTTTCACATTTTCAGACCTCTTCTTGGTGGCCATTCCCCAATTTTTCTGGCAGAACAGTAATGTTTCTACTGGTCTGGCCAATTATAGTACACTGGGTGATTAGGTTTTTATCTGGCAGAAGAAGAAGGTAAGTTAAACATGTTCTTAAGAATCAAGTATTGTTTTACTGGAAACAAGTATTAATGAGATATCGATCTAAGGACAAACATATTATATTTGCTTTATGAAAAATCGCTTTTTTTGTTCACAGCCTTTTGTGATTTGAAGAAAATAGTTTTTCAATTATTATTACCTTGTAAAGAATTTTGAATTATTTTTTCTTCAGGCCAACACGGTGAAGCATTAAAAATGCTTGAGATACAAGGAGAACCTAAGCTTAATACATGGAATCACTGAATTCTTTTACCACTATGAAGTGAAGTGGATTTCAGACTTAATTCCTAGTGTGGGTTGATACCATGTTTGTGCAATAGATGTATAAAATCACAACCATTGTAATGGATGTCCAATAAGTTATCCATCATCTGTGAAGCCTGTAGTAAGTGATCATGAGACTGAAATGAATTATAAAAGCCATGTGCCTTATCTGTTGTATGGTATGGCATCCAGTAGGAATGTGGGCAGTGCAAGATGACAACACACGATCATATTGCTGTCTCTGCCAATGGAGGTGGTTTGTTCGTTTTATCAGTGTTGGTTTGATTGTGGACAAGAGGCCTCAAAAAGATTTTAATAAATTTTAATGCAATTCAAATGATGGACAGTTATTCAGGTAGGAAAGAAGTTTGGACAGTTTTAATCTGGGTTTTATAATATGTATAAAACAATTTTAACTGACTTTAAATCATTGTGATACACTGATAAAAAAAATGCTAGTGACAACTGCACTGAAAATGTCTAAATGCTAAAATGCCAAAAATCAGAAGTAAACTTGTGGCTCAGTCTTGCCATACAAAATGGATGTCACAAAATTTTGTCAGTGAAACTATATTGAACACTTCCACAAAACACATTATTGTATTTCATAGATTTCTTGTCATGAAATATATTTTTTCATTTAGTCTGTAACAGTATTGTGAGTATGCATATTAAATTATTAAAAATGAATCACTCAAGCTGTAATTATTTTGTACTTATGTTCAAAGTTTCTAGTCACAAGGCAGAAAATCTAAAAAGAACTGAACCTTGCCTTATACTGAATAGGTCACTTCTTCAACATCAATTTAAGTAAGTTTTTATCTTATTTTGTGAAGTATTTTTGTGTGGACAATACTTGATGGAAGTATATTTTAATATTTCAAATGTGAATATTGTGAAAAAAAAAGGTAAGTTTACAACCAAGAACACAAAAGTCCATTTCATGAGGAAAATCAGTCTTGCATTTCAAATTATTATTAATTATTAAAGTGTTTTGGATAACTGGACCATTTTGAACACGCATGTAATTTGTAAAGTTACTTTCATAGCAAAGTTTAAAAGATAAAATAAAAGTCAACACAAGAATCAGTCTTTCCCGAGTTATCTTTCATATCAAAACTTTGTAGTATATACATGTGGCCAGTACTGGCTGTCCAAGGAAACTCCCGTAAAATGGGCTATATATATATGTAATATATATGTATGATAAAACTAATATCAAATACTCGCTGGTACCCAAACTTATTTGATTATACTTTCAAATGCAACATTCTAATGACGGCAGGTAACAGTAAGAAAATGGCATCTTTTGTAGAAGAAAACAGATATAAGGAGTTCTGTATGTGATACACATTATTTTATCACTCCGTATAAAATAAAACGCCAACTGAAATGAAGGGCTCAATTTAAATGAGATAGCCTTCAGTGATGATAATAGATGAAACACAGTAAAAATTTAACCTCAGGCAAACTATTTCTTATTTACCAAATAAAGTTTCTTCTCAGATATATTTGTTAACCTGACGCACTTGTTTTAAGAATGACCATACTGAAATACATCTCAACAATTGGCCGCAGTTTTGAAACCAAACATTATAAATTGGATGAAACTCCTGCTGGTCTAATATCAAAGAAGCATATTTTTTAAACATAATTCCCAATTTATCACTAAACTGGATTAGAAATCTGAATAACCTTAATTTTTTCTTCACTTTTTTCTCACTGATGTAAAACAACACAATACTGGGATCCAGTGATGAGAAAAATAAATCTAAATAAAGAATGAAGAGTCNGATTGTGGACAAGAGGCCTCGAAAAGATTTTCATAAATTTTAATGCAATTCAAATGATGGACAGTTATTCAGGTAGGAAAGAAGTTTGGACAGTTTTAATCTGGGTTTTATAATATGTATAAAACAATTTTAACTGACTTTAAATCATTGTGATACACTGATAAAAAAAATGTTAGTGACAACTGCACTGAAAATATACCTAAATGCTAAAATGCAAAAAATCAGAAGTAAACTTATGGCTCAGTCTTGCCATTCAAAATGGATGTCACAAAATTTGTCAGTGAAACTATATTGAACACTTCCACAAAACACATTGTATTTCATAGATTTCTTGTCATGAAATATATTTTTTCATTTAGTCTGTAACAGTATTGTGAGTATGCATATTAAATTATTAAAAATGAATCACTCAAGCTGTAATTATTTTGTACTTATGTTCAAAGTTTCTAGTCATAAGGCAGAAAATCTAAAAAGAACTGAACCTTGCCTTATACTGAATAGGTCACTTCTTCAACATCAATTTAAGTAAGTTTTTATCTTATTTTGTGAAGTATTTTTGTGTGGACAATACTTGATGGAAGTATATTTTAATATTTCAAATGTGAATATTGTGAAAAAAAAAGGTAAGTTTACAACCAAGAACACAAAAGTCCATTTCATGAGGAAAATCAGTCTTGCATTTCAAATTATTATTAATTATTAAAGTGTTTTGGATAACTGGACCATTTTGAACACGCATGTAATTTGTAAAGTTACTTTCATAGCAAAGTTTAAAAGATAAAATAAAAGTCAACACAAGAATCAGTCTTTCCCGAGTTATCTTTCATATCAAAACTTTGTAGTATATACATGTGGCCAGTACTGGCTGTCCAAGGAAACTCCCGTAAAATGGGCTATATATATATGTAATATATATGTATGATAAAACTAATATCAAATACTCGCTGGTACCCAAACTTCTTTGATGAAACTTTCAAATGCAACATTCTAATGACGGCAGGTAACAGTAAGAAAATGGCATCTTTTGTAGAAGAAAACAGATATAAGGAGTTCTGTATGTGATACACATTATTTTATCACTCCGTATAAAATAAAACGCCAACTGAAATGAAGGGCTCAATTTAAATGAGATAGCTTTCAGTGATGATAATAGATGAAACACACAGTAAAAATTTAACCTCAGGCAAACTATTTCTTATTTACCAAATAAAGTTTCTTCTCAGATATATTTGTTAACCTGACGCACTTGTTTTAAGAATGACCATACTGAAATACATCTCAACAATTGGCCGCAGTTTTGAAACCAAACATTATAAATTGGATGACTCCTGCTTGTGTAAAATCAAAGAAGCATATTTTTTAAACATAATTCCCAATTTATCACTAAACTGGATTAGAAATCTGAATAACCTTAATTTTTTCTTCACTTCTTTCTCACTGATGTAAAACAACACAATACTGGGGTCCAGTGATGAGAAAAATAAATCTAAATAAAGAATGAAGAGTAGATGGTTACAAAAGAAGTACAACTGATATCTATGTACACATTACAAAAGTTTACATACAAATGTTCACAATAACATAACTGACGAGCCACATTTGATATCTATCATATGCACATATCTATAAAAATAACATTCACTTACAACACTGTCACAGTGAACTATTTACAAAAGTTGACGTCAAGTCACCTAAAATTTTTAGCTGTTTTGTATATACAAGATATACCATGGTGATTAAATGCATTACACCATGATCCAACTTTTATAACATTCATCTTGGGGAAAATCCATCAAACTATGTGAAACTAAACCAAGTTCTAAAAATTGAAAAATATTTATATTTCTCTAAAACTCTTCAAACAGCACTTCCTTTAGTTTCCTCATTGCAGCCCTGAAAGCTGATTTCACAAGAGAACTTAAGACCTAAAAATTTGGTCCAAAAATTAAGATCAGAATTTGGTCTACTTTGAGCCAAAATAAACCGCTAATATTCAAGACCAAAACTCTCTTAGACTTCTACTTTGCTACTAAATGAAGTACACCCAAAATTGTCAGTCAGAAGTTATGTAAAATTGACCCCTGATTGAACTGTATCCATAACTTTTTTCTGTCTAATACTTTGCTGAAATCTAACAGCAGCGTTGGAAATTCTATATCATCATCACTTGATCTTCACTAATGACCTGCCTTCCAAACCTGTAACTTTACTTCAATGTCTCAAATTGATAGTATAGAAAGCAATAAGATAAATGAAGGCAAACTGCACTGTGTGAGACATGACATGGTTAAAAAAAGCCCCTGACATCAGCAAATGTCCACAATACCTGCAAGACTTTTTGGTTGGCATATAAATTTTTTTGAAATCAGGTAATTTTTAACAAAAAATCACATCCCTAACAACCTGGCAGTGTCCACGTACTGAATATGTGTGCTATCAAAACACACATAACTTACTACACTTTCCAAGTGAACCAAGTATGAGTAAGAGAATTCTTGAAGTGCTGGCAAAGTATTTTTACATAGATAACAACTACATAGCAGTTGGATAATGAATGCTGTAGTCTGTCTTAGTAAGAATACACTGCCTTACCATAGCAACTTTTCACGTGCAGTGTTAAGCAGTACTGTTTTTTTTTTTCAAGAAGGTGACTTGGCATCACCACCTGCAATGTTCACTTTTCTGATAATTCCTGGTCGTAGCTGTTCTCTGACTTTCTGTAATTTCTTCTCAGCACACTCGGACACTAATTTGTTCAGCTCGGCCGCCGAATAACCCAGCAGCATCTTCAGATCACAGACAAATTTATACACAAACCTCTTTCCATGGACCTATTGGCAAAAAGAGAGAAATCATTTTTTGTATTCAAACAAGATATTTGCTTCAAAATTATTTACAAAAACCAATTTCCTTTCTCCAACAAATTAACTTTCAATCAGAAGTCCTACTGCGAAACTATTTCTTGACTTCTTCACATAAATTGATAAGTGTGGAGTTCTAAAGTAATCTCCATTTTGATGAAAATAAAAAGCCAATTTCCAGTGACGTCAATCCAGACACCAAACAACCCTTATAATCCTACCTTGGCGATCATATCTCCATCATAGTAATATCGTAGAGCACGGCTAAGTTTCTCATAATTCATGGTGGGCTTATTTTTCCTCTGACCCCACATCTGGGCCACCATCTCTGGGTTGTTCAGCTTGAACTCTCCATTATCTCCAACCCATTGGATCACTTCTCTGCAATCTTTGTCTGTTAGAAGCTCCAGTAAAAATTGCCACAGCTGTATCTGGCCATTGTTGCCTGTGAAAAATAATAAATCATACATTTATGATGCATCCTAGAAGGTATTAATTCCTTGGACTCATCCTGGATGAAGAGCTTCAGTAAAAAAAATTCCCCATCTCTATCCAGTCTCTGTAATTTGACATTATGATATAGCTTAGACTAGATTCAAACAATTCTTTCTGTCTTTTTTTGCACTGTTTGGTTCAATTATTTAAAAAAAGATTTCTCTACTAAATAAAATAGTGTCAAATAAGAAAACCTGTAAAACAATTTTCATGCAAGCATGCATAACCTTTGGCAAACTTTTCAAGCTTCAAGTGCTTCCACTTACCTGTCCTGTTCCCTGGGGACCAGCCCTCCCCTATCCTGGGAGCCCGAGATTGCTTGTGGACTTTCCTGGCTACCCCGCCCCCTGCCAGGTCCCCTGATGTTGACACTGTTACTGTGGTGATAGCATGAGGAGTTGGCTGCTGAACTACAGCTGGAATAATAAAATAGCTGAGGTATAACTAATAAGTACAAGTAACAATCTAGTTTCAATGTTGCCCGAGCATCTGTAAATGGTTGATTTGAGAGTCAGAGCACTCCACGAATCGGTTTTTCTTTTCTTTGACAACGTAGCATAATTTTCTATATAATGCACATATGCTTACTTTGATTTCATGTTCCAGTTTGTAAATGTTAACGGTGCACTCAAAAACCAAGATAATAAGAATATTAAAAACACAAATTAATACTACAAAATACAAATAAAAAGTCACTCAATCAATTTAAAAGCAAATTCATAAAACAGCTAAAATATAACAATCCACCTTGCCCAACACCAAGATTATCCTTTTATAATCATTAAAATCATGCTTTTGTTAACTAAGACCAGGGCAAAACATAAACAATTATACCCAATACAAACTAAAATAACTTTAAAATCAACGACAACAAAGACAAAGGAGGTTGCTGACAGGATGTAGTTCCCAGTCTCCAAATCACTGACTATTGTGTACACAAGAGACCTACCCACAAATTTACACTTCCTGAGCAGCTCCAGATGTGTCCAGAACAGGTCCCCCTTGTCATTGGGGATCAGCTTGGAGAAGTCTGGATGGGACATGTCACACAGTTCTTGTCCTGTCACATTGAAGTTCTCTATGTCCACGTTGTCCAGACCAAACTCCTTGATTGCCCACTGAATCCAGTGTTTAACGTGGGCTTGATTCCAGTGAGAGGGATCTAGAATGAAAAGTAATGACACATACCTTACTGGTAAATTATTGCAATAAACTTAGAATAGTCGCCAAAAACACACAGAATATGATCTTGCCTGCCTCTCTCCTGTAAGCTCACTCTAGCTCACTCAAAAGTAAAGAGAGCTGGTTTGACAAATAGAGACATGACACCACCCTCATTGTGTGTGAATCTCTCTCTCTCTCTCTCTCTCTCTCTCTCTCTCTCTCTCACATATATTCACTCAAAACACACTTCTCTAAGGATAACGAAAATGTTAAATCTGTGCCATTTTTACCAAATGGTATTTTCAGCCTCTCTTGTTCCCTCCTGAAATTCTGGTCCACAATCCACCTGGTGACATGTTCAGACTCCTCTGGGAAAGGAATCACCACCTTGGTGACATTTGCAGCTTGCGCGGGCACTGCAATAAGCAACAGTGTCAATTACCAGAGAGCCAAAGACAAAAAGGACAATAAAACATTCTTTTAAAAATCATTGGGAGAAATAAAATCGGTTTAAAATGTTGCCACATCTGTCACTTCTGAACAACAGTTTTTCTAAAAGCTTTATCAAAATCTAATAAACAAATGTCAAGGAAAAGGTAACCATTTCCATTGGCTGATATCAAACTGGCTGAATAAACATTATTCTTTAAGATACTTTCTTATAAAATACTTTATATACACACCTGTGGTGGGCTGTTGTACAACTACCTCCTCTGCTGGTTTCAGTATATCAACAATATTAATCCTTGGTTTGATGCCTACAAGTAAACAATAATGCAATATAACAATACAGAACACAAAAATATTATCCTTAAAGGACACAATGACCAAGAAAAATACATGAATAAGAATAAAGTCAGTATCTCCCTTGTTTTCAATGCTAGGACATTTCAAAGTAAAAATTGTTATTATGGGTTCAGCTAAAAACTCTAAATCCGCTCCTAGTAAGTACCCACATGTGAAATATTGAACCAGTTTCTTCACAAGAGAGAAACAATAAGTGTTTTAGGCTGATAACTTAATACAAAACTCTATTAAGTGAACCACTGATGGATGATCCTTTACTGACAGAAACCATGCTTTTTTGTCTAAAATCTAAGATTGACTTTTCAACTTTAATTTTTTCAGGAAACTGTGAAAGACACTGACCTGGCTGAGATTTCACTTCCACATTAATCTGGACCATGCCTTCTCCCTGTACACACTGCTCCACCAGGTTCTTCTCAGGATTTAACTATAATAATAATAATAATAATAATAATAATAATAATAATAATAATATGATAATGATGATGATCTTTTAAAGGTCCCATCAATGTCTCTCTTTTGAAAATTCAACACTAAATATGAGAGGTGATGAAAACCCTAACCAGTACATACCACAAGCTGCATACCTCCTAAGAAGTGACACTTACAGCTCAATATCTTTTGAATTTTTTTTATATGTAAATTTGGTCAGTTTCCTCAATATTAGTGTTTCCACACATGAGACATGAACTGCCACTTCCAATTCAAAACTGGCAAACCAACATCTTATTTCCTCAACATAAACACTCAATGGCATATGAAGTCCTAGATAACTCGTAACTCTAAAACTTACCAGTAAACTGTCCTGTAGGTAAAACTCGTGTTCTGCCAGCGTGCACTGTAATTTGGCCTCCAACAGGTGCCTCAGTACATTAAGAGGGTCAGAGATATCCATGTGTTGAACTATGATGTTCTGGACTTGTTGTACTGGTTGTAACTGGATGACATTGCCATCTGTGTCCACACTGGCAGGAGATAAGGAACAAAATATGACATGATGATGATGGACCTGAGATCTTGAACAACAAAACCACATGGAATAGTGAGACAAAATTGGGGAAAACAACCAAAATTACTTCAAAAGGGATAAAAAAATCCATTCAGAGATTATTGTGAAAAAGGTTTAACTTCCAAATAAAATCACATTTTTGACATTAGTGATAATACCTGTCATATAAACCCAAACATGTTAGTCTTGATTCAATCTGACATAGCTCAAAGCTTTGGGACTCTGCATAAAATAATGACAGATTGCAGTGTGTCAATGAATAAGAGCAACAAGAACTTATCCATGTCATTTTCATTTTCTGGTCGTTTTTCTTCAGTTCTGTGATTATAGTAACAGTCTTTTGCACAACAACCTGTATTTATCGTGTCTTGTATTTTTTTTTTTGTCAATATCTTTTGAAGACCTTTTTCCAAGCACACAGAGTTTCTCCCTTGTTGCTAAAAAGGTTAGTCCCAAACCACATGAATTCTTGCATTCTAGTCTAGTCTCACATGCAATCATATACAGTAGTAAAAACACCTCTTAATTCAGTGTTATAACATTGGGGTGGTTGTGAACATAGCTCACCTTGTCTGTTCATCTGAAGTGACAGTGACATTCTCCATATCTTCCACCTGTTGTTCTATGGTGGACAGCTCTGTCTCCTCTCCACCGTCAACTTCAGCCTGCTGGATCTCGTACAACTGTACAACTTGCTCCCCCACTTCCTCTTCACCACCTTCTACTATTGTTGAAATCTGGAGATCTTCGCTAAAAAAAAAGTAGGACAAAGCTAAATGAATCAATATAAACCCAAAAGCAAAGATTATTCTGTTAACAACATTTAAAATGTTGATTTAAAAGAATAAGTGATTGCATTAAAAGCAATAACCACAGGAAAATATTTCAACGCAGTTTTTTGGATTGTTTTTAACTCTTGCAGCAAACAGGTAACACAACTTAATTCCAATTTACAATTTTACTGAACAGTTTAAAAAGGATTTCTCTTTATTCAGCAATAATTCTACTACAGCAAAACTATTGACTGCCATCTTTATCTTTTTAGCCTTTTTTAGTGTTAAAAGCAATATGTACCTTTCTTTACCTATATAGATCAAGTAGCAGCTACTTACCCAGCACTTACTGTCACCTCCTCTTCAGCTGTCGCCTCTTCTTCAATTTTAGCAACTTTCTCCACATCTTGAACAGGTGACCCTGCCCGTTTCATGGCCTTTAATATAAATACATATAGTACATTAAAAATATTATTCATGGCCTTCTTTAGAAATAAAAAATAAACAATAATTAATAGAAATAAAATGGACTTTTTTTTTGTTTCATTGCAAATCATTTCGGTAATTTAAGGCCCCCAACCATGTAACATTCAGCATCATATAAACATATACTTGTGACATATATAATACTGCTATTTAAGATGACATTTTGTTTTTGATTATTTCAGTAAAAGTCACAACAGTCAACCAGTGCCTAGTTCACACTTTACTAGTTTTTAGACTTTGCAGTATCTGCCATTTTAAGTCGGGTCAAAAGTGGGTGGGTGTGTGGGTGTGTGGGGCAGTTTAGAAATATAAGCTGCAAATGAGACCATGACTTTTCAGAACATCCAAGCAAATGTTACTCCTTGAATTAGTATAATATTATTATAAGAGTATCGAGCAACTCTATGCTCATTGTTCCCTTGCAAACAGTTAAACAAAATATATTTTAACCATTTTATTTGAATCAATACAGCAATTTCAGACAAACATCAGAGCATTTAACAAATTTTCCTTATTTAGCAAAATATTATTGCTTAGTATGTTGTCTGAATTATGTACTCCACTCAGGTTTAACACAGACAGAGACTCTACCCTTGAGATATGTAAAATATCGGAAAGTTTCTTAAGTGTATAAGTTTTACTTCAAATCAATGACAAGTACTTTATTTAAGCTGTTTTGAGGTATCCAGGTCACAGAACTGGCCCTAGGATTGAAATGCGAGTGACTAACTCCAATTCTCATTTAGTAGTTCTGACGTTCCAATAGAAAAAAAGAAATAGCTGACTTAATACAAAGGGGCCACCTATCCAGTAAATTTGTCACCCAAAACTTTCGATCTTGTAGAAACAGACATGAATCCCTAATTAAGAAACTTGCTGAAAAAACACAACACAACTTTCGTACATATTTCATTCAGATTTTCGAACTCTATCCGCCCTGAATTTTGGACTTGGAATGTGGCTAGACAAATAGAACCCATCCTCAGAAGCCATTGGTGAACCAGATCCAACCAAATGGATGAAAAATTCACGTACATCACATCGAGTACGAAAGGAACCAAAACACGACCCATCTACCATGTGCGAGCAATTTCCGGAAAGACATTTGTTGTCTGCTTTTGCACAGACGTAGTAAACTTCCGGCCATAAGGCACAAATTTTTGGCGGAATTTTACGCAGAATTCGACCTCAAAATAACCATGGTCGATAAGACCATTACCTGTACAGTAAAGAATAAGACTCACCGTTGATGTCCAATGTATTTTAAAACAAAATAAGATTAAAGTCTGCTTTTTTGGAGCACAGTTTTCATCAACAGGAAATTGCAGACAAAGGTGTCCGGCTTCCTCAGGAAATAGCTTTGATCACGTGGTAAAAGGTGAAGCTCTCGTGAATTCACGCGCTAATTAGTGATATTTTGCAACGCCATCTACAGGGAAGCACACCGCCATTTTGTTGCAGCGGCAGGTAAGGTAAGAATGATGCTTATATTTAAAGGCATTTAAGAGCTGTATTTAGATGCTTTATACGGTGACAACTCTGCGTCTTACACCCACTCACACGAAGAAGTTCTTGGGAATAAAACCATACCTCATCCAAAGCCAGGTGACGTAAAATAGCAATTTGGATATAAATGGACACTCTTTAGTACGTCTTACAGTAAAGTCTTACTACTCTCTTACTGAAACAGTGAAAGTCTTACGAGTTTCACAAAGCCTTGAAAATTGATTAATTTAGCGCTGCAACTTGAATTCATTTTGTGGCCTTGAGAAGTACTTGAATCCGAGCACCAAGCAATTTGTCAAAAATTCAAATCTTTTCCTTTAACCTTAGAAATATAGTTCATATATATACTGGCAGAAGGGTAGAATGCCCTTTTTGAGAAACATCTGATTAAATTCTTTTCATGTTACAACATTTATGTGTATAAAATACAGAATTTGTATATTGCTTGTCTTTTATCTGAGATATTTACACTTATAAGTGACACTTCATTCCTGCATGAACCTGAAGTCCTAGAGTCATCTAGTGACTTACTCTCTAGAGAATATTGAAAGTACCAAAAAAGTTACACAAATGCAGTTTAAGAACATATCCTTACTATATCAGAGGAATATCTTGATTTGTGGGTCTTATCTGATAAAGACATGTATCATGTGGTTCTGCACTGACAAAAATAAGTTTTGCAGTTTTCTTAACAATTTTTCAGTCTTTTTTTTTTACCAGACCCTTAAAACTTAATTTTAAAAATTCAAAGTTGTCTCATAACTGAATTTAGGGGAAAAAACTTACATTTATAAATTTGTTAGGGATACTGCAGAAGTACCTTTGTTTCACTGCAGTTAAAAGTGGTAGATGTACATTGTAGCTGTTAGACATAGGAAGCAATGGTTAATCAGTTATTATATAATTTTCAGCACCATGTTTCGCTGTGCAGCTTCAAGTCTAACACGGAATGTAGCAAGGCAGAATACGGTCTTGGCACAGTGTCATAGAAATATAGGCATCACTGCTGTACTAGGACAAAAAAGTGTATCAGATCCCATCCAACAGTTGTTTTTGGAAAAGGTCAGAGCTTACGACAAGGAATTGAAGTAAGTATTTCTTATAACTCTACTTATGCTTATCTATATAATGCTTAACAGCATCAAAATGATAGAAAACCCTATTTTGGGCACTACTTCCATAGTGACCATTAAAAAAAGCCCTTGTCACTTACTCTTCTTAAACTTGCAGGAAAGAAACACAGGACTAAATTCATCCTGGGTTGCAAAAGCAGTCTAATTGGCTTCTTTTTCTGTTGTACATTTTTTTGAAATTGTTATCTTTCACATATTGACATTTTCAGTGTGGGACTTGGAACTCCCACGGGCATGAAGCCCAGTGGTAATCAAATTTTCTAAATGTCTTTGTTATTAATAGAAGATAATTAAAAATTGGTGGTAATTATACAGTTAATCATTATGTAATATTGCATCAAAATTGACAAAAAGCCTATTCCGTGCACTGTCATCACAAACGTTATAAAAAGAAAACTGTGTTATAATTATAACTTACAAGAATGATTCTAAGGATTGACATACAGCTCAAAGAAGAAAACCAGCTCTATTGTATTATCATCTTTTATTGAATTAATGCACTTTTTTTGTGAAATTTTCATTTTTCTCATTCTATCAGTTTCTATGTGTGAACTTGAATTCTCATGGGCCTGAAGCCTTATGCTTTTACTTTCATCGGTATTACCTGTTGTGCATAATTAAAATGTGATGTTGACTTTGCATTTAAGCATAATGTATTATTGCGTCAGAATTGACGGTATCCTATTTTGTGCATTATTATTTTCTGCTTTTTGTCTGTACATTTGACAGCTTTGCTGCCTTGTTTCATTTCAGAGCAACTGGTAAACTGCCAGGTCTAACAAAAGAAGATGAAGCAGCTTTTGAGGACCGCCTTGAAAAATTGAGAAGACATTACAATGTTGTATCGGAGGCAGAGATGTTAGCTTTTCCAACATTTAAATGGCAAGGTTTGTGTCATAAGCAGTCTGTGTGAGGGCAGAGATAATGCTGCAGGCTGGTTTAGTTTGTAGATAACTGTGGAATACGTCTTTGTTATTATTATTATTATTATTATTATTATTATTATTATTTTTAGTTAAGGAAAATGATTATCATTTAGTAAAAATCTAGTAATAACTGTGCAGGGTATGCTGCTTAGATTGTCAGTTTCTTTTGACTCAGCAAGATGTGTACAATTCAATAAATTTCCCTGTTAGGCCTTGTAGATTTTATCCAACTAATAACGAACAATTTGTCCCTTGTGTGACATGGCCATCCATTTCTGTCACGCTGATGACTGTGTCTTCTCTTTTCAGATCCACCATTAGAAGCTATCAAGCCAGAAGGTATCATAGATGTCCAAGTGCCAGAGGATGAAAGGCTTATTCCTGAAAATTTTGATCCGTATTCGGAACCATTTTATTTCCAAGATGACTGCTGGGACTTCATGAAAAAATAATTTTACACATAGAATAATTAGAAAATAAAATGATAGTAATTTAAACAAACTGAAAAAACACTGTTATATGTTGCCAACGGATGAAATCATACTTTTTCATTTACTCCTATAAGTGAATATCTATGTTGGTGTTTATAACTTCACAAAGAAGAAATCACTCGATAGCACGTTAACATGAAGATTTGATGCATTTTCTGGCACATTTGCATAGAATGAACTCGAAGCCATGGATATTTTTCTTGCAAAGACTAAGAAGTAAACTAAAGCTTTCAGGAATACTTGCCAGCAAAAGAGAAAGAGAAAAAAAAGCTCATCAAAAATTAAGGGCATGTAGAATACAACTTAATGTTACTTCACTTTACCTAGGGCATGCAAAAAGATGTGGAAAAATGTCTACACTATGTGAACAGTTAGGTTCAATGAAATGTTTTTGATAATAAAGTGGCATCTTTTTTTGTTTGAATGAAAAATTGTAGTATTTTACTTCAATCTTGTTGAAAAAAATTTGCAGATAAGTCTAGAAAGATAACCTGTAAATATGTTGTGAAGACTACAAGTTGGGCAGTAACATTCCCCATCTTCGTTTATGGACAAGACCATACAAATGGGCAGATGACAGGATTTTGTGCACCTGTGAAGTAAATCTGTTTGGTAAAGGATTGAACTTTGAGAAAGAGAAGTTCTTTCACGCCGTTCCCCATTTTCTGAGGAAGTGGGTGGGGGGTTCCTTGTTGCCCAAGCTTCCCTAATGACTAAGGCTCTTATTTATATAGTGATAAAAAGCAAAAATATACAGAATCCAACCCTCTTACCCTCACAGATAGCATCAAATTTTGCAAATTTGAAAAAATAAGTAAAATAATTGGATTTAAAAACAAGCAAACTGGAGATTTTTTTAAATAAAAATTCGTGACAGTTTAGTAATCAAATCTGATGTGCCACCAAGAGAAATTAAAATAAGTTGATGATATTTTTTCCACGACATTAAAAAAAAATTGGTATTTAGTGCATAATTAGTTTATTAACTGATCACAACTGGACTCTCGTCCTGTGTCATATTGCATTCTCAACAAGGACAACAAATGACAAATCTAATTAATCACTTTCATTATCACTTGTGTCATGTGGGTGTTTAGCTGTATTTTTACTTTTTGATTTATATTTTTTTAGAGAATCTTTTGAATGTTTACGTCTGTGTATATCTCTAGTGTCGCTCTGTGAATCGCTTGAATTACAGAAACTGTAGCACTTATTTCGGTGTCCTTTTTGTTGGACTGTGGAAAGCCCTGAAGATCTACTTCTTGACCGTTTTTGTTCTTGTGATTTCTCTCTGCTGTTATGAATTGAGGTGCTACTTTCTTGCATTTGAACTTCAGACAACCCTGCCTCAGCTTCAAAGAACGTCGGTCTGGGTTTCTGTTTTCTCTGTAGCTGTTCATTTTCTACTGAACTGCCTTCACTCAAACATGCATCATTTATGTGATGGCGATTTTTATTCTTCCTTTTTATTGCATCTGACGAATCATTGCTTTTCGGTGATCTATGTCGCCGTTTTCTGGTTTTTCTGCTGTTTGATCTATCACAGTGACTATTTTCTGAACTGTCCGTTTCATAATGCCTTTTCTCTTTCTTAGACCCTGACTTCATTCTGTGCAAGCTGCCATGCATCTCAGAGTACTTCTCCGTATCAGAATTGCGTCTTCGAGTATCTTTCTTCTCAACCACTGCATCCCTCAAATCTTTCCTATCAGGAGATCTATCTCTCCATTTTCTATCTCTTCTGCTGTACAAATTATCACTATCTGAACTGTCTGTTTCGTAGTATTTCTTGTCCTTGTTTGACTGTGACTCTAATTTGTGCAAGGTGCCATTCATATTGCTGCATCTCTCTTTACTAGGGCTGAATCTACGTTTCCTTTTGTCAACTAGATCTGAAGTATCTTTTCTTCCAGAGGATCTATGTTTCCGTTTATTAGCTTTTCTGGTGTATGAGTCAATACTATCTTCTGAACTGTCTGTTTCATCATTTTTCCTCTCTTTCTTTGACCCTAACTCTTTTTTGTGTGAGCTGCTATTCTTCTCCCTGTGTCTCTTCTCTCTAGATTTGTGTCTGTGTTTATGTTTCTTCTTTTTCTTCTTCCCTTCTTTCTTTCTAAAATGTGAAAAAATATCATCAGTTGTGCCTTATAATCACAGATGCTTAAGTTTATGTATTTTGCTTAATATCTAGTTACAAAGGACCAAAACAATTGAATTTTTATTACAGTATGATACGGCATCACCTTCATCAGTACACAGTCAGATCCATTGCATGTGATTAAAGATAAAATGCTATATCAGAAGAATATCTAGCACATTTCAGTGTTTTTATTCAGATAGAAACAAGATCTATCTAACAGTATCAATCTATATAGCTCTATAGATGTATTTAGCTATACCACATACATACAAATGTTACAATTCAAATCACATAGCACACACCATGAAGATAACATGCTTTCACAAATATAACACGTTCTACTATACTAAGATTAATATCAAACGTCATAATATTTTCACTGTTTAGTGTGGTTTCACTGTCACTTTACCTTCTTTCTCCGCTCCTACTTCGCTTCCTACTACCTTCATCGTCTGATCTATCACTGGCAAACTCATCAGGGTACATTTCCTTGTACCCAGCATGCCCCCACCTGTGATATAGATAAATAATGAAATAGTAATGATGAGAACTATTTAAAAACATTCTTGTCTGCATTTTACTTGATCAACTTAATATGTACATTCTTTATGAAGTTTGTTTTTAAGTTGGAAAATTATAAATTTTAGCATTACTTTTTACACCTGAGCTACTATCTCATTTGCCTTTCACAAGGAAGGACAAATGATCAAAATATGTTGTCTGTAAACCTATCTACAGGCAGATAATGTTGCTTTGTACAATCCACTGCCATCAAATATAAAGAAATAGCTGGGTGAAGGGAAGGAGGCATGACAGATCAGCACCTGTCCCAATCTCACCTTAACTTTTTATTATTTCTTGGATCAGCAATAATTACCCATGCCAATGAAGTTGGTGTTTTCATCAGAGTTTGGGTATTAGTTTGTTGAAAAAAAAAATTACCATAGGAGTTCTGACAAAACCTCCAGGATAAATTGACAATTAAAAGCAAAAGTAGTGATTATAATTTTAACTGAATCCTGGTCTCCTAATATTTGCAAAATGATATTTTATTTTATCATTACTTGTATTTGGCATTGATCTGCACCACCAGAGTGCTATCAACTTTCATCAAAAAAATGTACTTTTATAACCAAACAAAAGATTGACAGGAACACTGACAGTTTATTTAAAATTCACTTTTCCATGTAGTAGACAGCTAGTGTAGGCATATTTTTGCTCGAATGAAGTCCACCCAAATGTGCCACAAATAATAACCTGTCAGGATCTTTCTCCTCAAATTTCTGCAGCTGCCTCATCCAGAATGTGCTCTCGGTCGTCCTGCCATCTTCCTCATCCATGTGTGCCCGCCTGTTCAGTCTCCTAGGTGGAGACACTTCACCTACATGACAATCAAAGGTTTCAATATTTTTTCACCAAAGACTAGTGTAATATTAACCAAAAGCTGATAATAACTATTAAACATCTGCCTACTAGTACTAGTATTTTTTTAGTTATTTTTCCTTATTTGAAGTAAGGAAAATATCTTTTATTACTTTGACAAAAATGCTTGATATTACCCAACTTTATTTTGGCACATAACTGTAAGTCATTAAAAAACAACCATCATGAAACCTTCAAACACTTTGTTTTGATAGATTGTGTGTAACTATATGTTTAGATATCACTTCTCAAGAAGTCGAATCATTTCTATTGAAATTTCTTTCTTACGGCTGTCCATAGAGTCTGCCATCCTGTCCAGCAGTCTCCTGTGTGGGCTATCTCTCCACTGACCAGTGCCCACTCTCTCCAGTTGGTTGGACCTCTTACTGGCTTCATGCTGCTGCCACATTTGTTCCTCTTCCACTCTCTGAAACAACATAGGAAATTTGCAATCAAGAGGTGGTATTTCCTTGAGCAAACTGTTTTAACTCAATGGTAATATATTCAAGATTTGCCTGCCAAATGAACTTTCATCAAGGAAAAAGCAATTTTTCTCCAACAAACACATCATTGCCAATCACCTCCCAATTTACAAAATCATGCAGCCAACAAATAAAAACTCTGATCATTTAGTCTGCATACCCTATTATGAGATCCTGTGTGTCTGATGAGATTGGAGAGTAGCTTTTTCCCATCACGGGAAACCATGGTTTGTGTTCTTATTCCTGTGCCTTTCAATATGCTGAAAAATACATCAAAATAGTGCTGTTTCAATGCTGATCTGTTTTATGTCATGTATAATGTATCATTTGAAAATAAACATATAATACCAAGTACTAGTTAGGTAGATCACNGTGAGGGATACTGCAGAAGTACCTTTGTTTCACTGCAGTGAAAAGTGGTAGATGTACATTGTAGCTGTTAAACATAGGAAGCAATGGTTTATCAGTTATTATATAATTTTCAGCACCATGTTTCGCTGTGCAGCTTCAAGTCTAACACGGAACGTAGCAAGGCAGAATACGGTCTTGGCACAGTGTCATAGAAATATAGGCATCACTGCTGTACTAGGACAAAAAAGTGTATCAGATCCCATCCAACAGTTGTTTTTGGAAAAGGTCAGAGCTTACGACAAGGAATTGAAGTAAGTATATCTTATAACTCTACTTATGCTTATCTATATAATGCTTAACAGCATCAAAATGATAGAAAACCCTATTTTGGGCACTACTTCCATAGTGACCATTAAAAAAAGCCCTTGTCACTTACTCTTCTTAAACTTGCAGGAAAGAAACACAGGACTAAATTCATCCTGGGTTGCAAAAGCAGTCTAATTGGCTTCTTTTTCTGTTGTACATTTTTTTGAAATTGTTATCTTTCACATATTGACAATTTCAGTGTGGGACTTGGAACTCCCACGGGCATGAAGCCCAGTGGTAATCAAATTTTCTAAATGTCCTTGTTATTAATAGAAGATAATTAAAATTGGTGGTAATTATACAGTTAATCATTATGTAATATTGCATCAAAATTGACAAAAAGCCTATTCCGTGCACTGTCATCACAAACGTTATAAAAAGAAAACTGTGTTATTATTATAACTTACAAGAATGGTTCTAAGGATTGACATACAGCTCAAATAAGAAAACCAGCTCTATTGTATTATCATCTTTTACTGAATTAATGCAATTTTTTTGTGAAATTTTCATTTTTCTCATTCTATCAGTTTCTATGTGTGAACTTGAATTCTCATGGGCCTGAAGCCTTATGCTTTTACTTTCATCAGTATTACCTGTTGTGCATAATTAAATGTGATGTTGACTTTGCATTTAAGCATAATGTATTATTGCATCAGAATTGACGGTATCCTATTTTGTGCATTATTATTTTCTGCTTTTTGTCTGTACATTTGACAGCTTTGCTGCCTTGTTTCATTTCAGAGCAACTGGTAAACTGCCAGGTCTAACAAAAGAAGATGAAGCAGCTTTTGAGGACCGCCTTGAAAAATTGAGAAGACATTACAATGTTGTATCGGAGGCAGAGATGTTAGCTTTTCCAACATTTAAATGGCAAGGTTTGTGTCATAAGCAGACTGTGTGAGGGCAGAGATAATGCTGCAGGCTGGTTTAGTTTGTAGATAACTGTGGAATATGTCTTTGTTATTATTATTATTATTATTATTATTATTTTTAGTTAAGGAAAATGATTATCATTTAGAAAAAATCTAGTAATAACTGTGCAGGGTATGCTGCTTAGATTGTCAGTTTCTTTTGACTCAGCAAGATGTGTACAATTCAATAAATTTCCCTGTTAGGCCTTGTAGATTTTATCCAACTAATAACGAACAATTTGTCCCTTGTGTGACATGGCCATCCATTTCTGTCACGCTGATGACTGTGTCTTCTCTTTTCAGATCCACCATTAGAAGCTATCAAGCCAGAAGGTATCATAGATGTCCAAGTGCCAGAGGATGAAAGGCTTATTCCTGAAAATTTTGATCCTTATTCGGAACCATTTTATTTCCAAGATGACTGCTGGGACTTCATGAAAAAATAATTTTACATATAGAATAATTAGAAAATAAAATGATAGTAATTTAAACAAACTGAAAAAACACTGTTATATGTTGCCAACGGATGAAATCATACTTTTTCATTTACTCCTATAAGTGAATATCTGTGTTGGTGTTTATAACTTCACAAAGAAGAAATCACTCGATAGCATGTTAACATGAAGATTTGATGCATTTTCTGGCACATTTGCATAGAATGAACTCGAAGCCATGGGTATTTTTCTTGCAAAGACTAAGAAGTAAACTAAAGCTTTCAGGAATACTTGCCAGCAAAAGAGAAAGAGAAAAAAAAGCTCATCAAAAATTAAGGGCATGTAGAATACAACTTTATGTTACTTCACTTTACCTAGGGCATGCAAAAAGATGTGGAAAATTGTCTACACTATGTGAACAGTTAGGTTCAATGAAATGTTTGTGATAATAAAGTGGCATCTTTTTTCGTTTGAATGAAAAATTGTAGTATTTTACTTCAATCTTGTTGAAAAAAATTTGCAGATAAGTCTTGAAAGATAACCTGCAAATATGTTGTGAAGACTACAAGTTGGGCAGTAACATTCCCCATCTTCGTTTATGGACAAGACCATACAAATGGGCAGATGACAGGATTTTGTGCACCTGTGAAGTAAATCTGTTTGGTAAAGGATTGAACTTTGAGAAAGAGAAGTTCTTTCACGCCATTCCCCATTTTCTGAGGAAGTGGGTGGGGGGTTCCTTGTTGCCCAAGCTTCCCTAATGACTAAGGCTCTTATTTATATAGTGATAAGAAGCAAAAATATACAGAATCCAACCCTCTTACCCTCACAGATAGCATCAAATTTTGCAATTTTGAAAAAATAAATAAAATAATTGGATTTAAAAACAAGCAAACTGAAGATTTTTTAAAATAAAAATTCATGACAGTTTAGTAATCAAATCTGATGTGCCACCAAGAGAAATTAAAATAAGTTGATGATATTTCTTCCACGACATTAAAAAAAATTGGTATTTAGTGCATAATTAGTTTATTAACTGATCACAACTGGACTCTCGTCCTGTGTCATATTGCATTCTCAACAAGGACAACAAATGACAAGTCTAATTAATCACTTTCACTTGTGTCATGTGGATGTTTAGCTGTATTTTTACTTTTTGATTTATATTTTTTTAGAGAATCTTTTGAATGTTTACGTCTGTGTATATCTCTAGTGTCGCTCTGTGAATCGCTTGAATTACAGAAACTGTAGCACTTATTTCGGTGTCCTTTTTGTTGGACTGTGGAAAGCCCTGATGATCTACTTCTTGACCGTTTTTGTTCTTGTGATTTCACTCTGCTGTTATGAATTGAGGTGCTACTTTCTTGCATTTGAACTTCAGACAACCCTGCCTCAGCTTCAAAGAATGTCGGTCTGGGTTTCTGTTTTCTCTGTAGCTGTTCATTTTCTACTGAACTGCCTTCACTCAAACATACATCATTTATGTGATGGCAATTTTTATTATTTCTTTTTATTGCATCTGATGAATCATTGCTTTTCTGTGATCCATGTCGCTGTTTTCTGTTTTTTCTGCTGTTTGATCTATCACAGTGACTATTTTCTGAACTGTCCGTTTCATAATGCCTTTTCTCTTTCTTAGACCCTGACTTCATTCTGTGCAAGCTGCCATGCATCTCAGAGTACTTCTCCGTATCAGAATTGCGTCTTCGAGTATCTTTCTTCTCAGCCACTGCATCCCTCAAATCTTTCCTATGAGGAGATCTATCTCTCCATTTTCTATCTCTTCTTCTGTACAAATTTTCACTATCTGAACTGTCCGTTTCGTAGTATTTTTTGTCCTTGTTTGACTGTGACTCTAATATGTGCAAGGTGCTATTCATATTGCTGCACCTCTCTTTACTAGGGCTGAGTCTACGTTTCCTTTTGTCAACTAGATCTGAGGTATCTTTTCTTCCAGAGGATCTATGTTTCCGTTTTTTAGCTTTTCTGGTGTATGAGTCAATACTATCTTCTGAACTGTCTGTTTCATCATTTTTCCTCTCTTCCTTTGACCCTGACTCTTTTTTGTGTGAGCTGCCATTCTTCTCCCTGTGTCTCTTCTCTCTAGATTTGTGTCTGTGTTTATGTTTCTTCTTTTTCTTCTTCCCTTCTTTCTTTCTAAAATGTGAAAAAATATCATCAGTTGTGCCTTATAATCACAGATGCTTAAGTTTATATATTTTGCTTAATATCTAGTTACAAGGGACCAAAACAACTGAATTTTTATTATGCTATGGCATCACCTTCATCAGTGCAGTCAGATCCTATGCATGTGATTAAAGATAAAATGCTATATCAGAGCACATTTCAGTGTTTTAATTCTGATAGAAACAAGATCTACCTAATAGTATCAATCTGTATAGCTCTGTAGATCTATTTAGCTATACCACATACATACAAATGTATTACAATACCATGTCGACTTCCATCTGTGATACTTTCTAACTCAGATGTAAAAATGTTACAAATCAAATCACATAGCACACACCATGAAGATAACATGCTTTCATAAACATAACACATTCTACTATACTAAGATTAATATCAAACATCCAAATATTTTCACTGAACAGTGTGGTTTCACTATCATTTTACCTTCTTTCTCCGCTCCTACTTCTCTTCCTACTACCTCCATCGTCTGATCTATCACTGGCAAACTCATCAGGGTACATTTCTTTGTACCCTGCATGCCCCCACCTGTGATATAGATAAATAATGAAATAGTAATGTTGAGAACTATTTAAAAACATTCTTGTCTGCATTTTACATGATCAACTTAAACTTATGTACATTCTTTATGAAGTTTGTTTTTAAGTTGGATAATTATAAATTTTAGCATTACTTTTTACACCTGAGTAACTATCTCATTTGCCTTTCACAAGGACAGACAAATGATCAAAAAATGTTGTCTGTAAACCTATCTACAGGCAGATACTGTTGCTTTGTACAATCCACTGCCATCAGATAAATAGCTGGGTGAAGGGAAGAAGGCATGACAGATCAGCAACTGCCCCAATCTCACCTTAACTTTTTTATTTTTTGGATCAGCAATAATTACCTATGCCAATGAAGTTGATGTTTTCATCAGAATTTGGGTGTTAGTTTGTTGAAAAAAAAAATTACCATAGGAGTTCTGATGAAACCTCCACAAAAAATAGATATTTAAAAGCAAAAGTAGTGATTACAATTTTAACTGAATCCTTGTCTCCTAATATTTGCAAAATGATATTTTATTTTATGGCATTGGCTAAGGTCTGCACCACCAGAGTGCTTTCAACTTTCATCATAAAAATGTACTTTTATAACCAAACAAAAGATTGACAGGAACACTGACAGTTTATTAATTTCACTTTTCCATGTAGAAGACAGCTAATGTAGGCATATTTTTGATCGAATGAAGTCCACCCAAATGTACCACTAATAATAACCTGTCAGGATCTTTCTCCTCAAATTTCTGCAGCTGCCTCATCCAGAATGTGCTCTCGGTCGTCCTGCCATCTTCCTCATCCATGTGTGCCCGCCTGTTCAGTCTCCTAGGTGGAGACACTTCACCTACATGACAATCAAAGGTTTCAATATTTTTTCACCAAAGACTAGTGTAATATTAACCAAAAGCTGATAATAACTATTAAACATCTGCCTACTAGTACTAGTATTTTTTTAGTTATTTTTCCTTATTTGAAGTAAGGAAAATATCTTTTATTGCTTTGACAAAAATGCTTGATATTACCCAAATTTATTTTGGCACATAACTGTAAGTCATTAAAAAACAACCATCATGAAACCTTCAAACACTTTGTTTTGATAGATTGTGTGTAACTATATGTTTAGATATCACTTCTCAAGAAGTCGAATCATTTCTATTGAAATTTCTTTCTTACGGCTGTCCATAGAGTCTGCCATCCTGTCCAGTAGTCTCCTGTGTGGGCTACCTCTCCACTGACCAGTGCCCACTCTGCCCAGTTGGCTGGACCTCTTACTGGCTTCATGCTGCTGCCACATTTGTTCCTCTTCCACTCTCTGAAACAACGTAGGAAATTTGCAATCAAGAGGTGGTATTTTCTTGAGCAGGTTTTAACTCAATGGTAATATATTCAAGATTTGCCTGCCAAATGAACTTTCATCAAGGAAAAAGCAATTTTTCTCCAACAAACACATCATTGCCAATCACCTCCCAATTTACAAAATCATGCAGCCAACAAATAAAAACTCTGATCATTTAGTCTGCATACCCTATTATGAGATCCTGTGTGTCTGATGAGATTGGAGAGTAGCTTTTTCCCATCACGGGAAACCATGGTTTGTGTTCTTATTCCTGTGCCTTTCAATATGCTGAAAAATACATCAAAATAGTGCTGTTTCAATGCTGATCTGTTTTATGTCATGTATAATGTATCATTTGAAAATAAACATATAATACCAAGTATTAATTTACCATTCTATAAATTACCAGCATAACACACTGAGAAATAACACGTTTAAATAACACACGTTAGCATTGTAATAAAAACAGATAAATCAATAACCGTTTTTAAGAGTTTACAACAAGTTAACAAAGGCAGAGACTAAAAATTGTAAAAAATAAAAAGTAACGGCATCTTCAAGATTGTACTTCATCACGGTCACTTGAACTGAATGCGGGAATGCGCTTGTCGACAAAAATTATCAAACGAAAAGGAGCGTCTCAATCAAAAATGAAAAATAGAAACCAAACTAAAGCCTTCAAGGTACAACTATAGATAATACCATTGGAATCAGTGCTCACCTTTGCGAGTAAATTGATATTTTCGAGACGAAAACCCACCGGCAAATTTCTAAATTTGGCTTCCACTGTGAACTACGTCAAGCGTCTTGTTTGCGCAAATAATGATGACGTAGTACACACCGGCAGTAGAAATACTGTTGCGAGGGAAGCAGTGTTCTAGCTGTTTCTTCAAATTTTCCAGCTGAAAAGTAAGTCCATATGCCTGTATTGTATGATATGAATCCGACGCAAAGAGCGATGCACACATATTTGGTACTCATAATTTTGAAAATTGACAAAAATATAAATCTATCGTGTTACTAATCAAAATGGTTAGGCAAGGTGGATCTTGATTTTATATTAGGCTACTGGTGCTAGCACGCTCGGCTGGGTGCTAGTACTAGTAATTGTCTCAGCCGTTCATTCAGAAAAAAGGCTCTGACCTGTCTGTGAAGTATGTGCATGCAGTTACAGTACCAATACCACATATTGAGCTCTTTTGAGCTCTGTAAAAGTAAGAAGACACTACAAATGGGTTGCCCTACCGGGTTATACACAGTATGGTTATCGTACGTATTTGGTACTTATTACATGTTATGTACATGTACCTTTTTTCGCTATTAGCAAGTTTGACGAATTTGGCCTGAAGTAACTTGAAATACATGTTAATTGATGTAGTCCTTTCTAATAAATACAGATTTGTATACACAACTGAATTGTTTATTTCATTTTACTTTGCACAATTCACTTTACAAATAATGTTGTAATTCTGTGATTAATTTTTAGGTTTTTCGTTCAGAACACCATGACATCTGAAGAAGATAACAGTAAGATGCTCCGGGAGGCACAGAGGGTGTGGTCTATGTTGGATGATATGTCAGAGAACAACCCAGCAGCCTACAGGAAGTTTATAGACAAACATGTGAAAGAGGGGAAAGAATTTTTAAAACCACCTCAGCCATGCATGTGTGTAAAGACAGGAATCCTTGTAAGAATATATTTCTGTATGCATGAGCGTCTTTATTAGGTGAAGTGGATTAATGTAAAACTCAGTTTCAGAGTTTTTTGAGGGAATTCTCTTCACTCTGCTGCATCTTAAAATTAAGAAGATTTTTTTTGCAAAAGCATGGACAGATAAGGACATTAATGCCTTTAAAGCTTATGAGTGGGCTCAGAGAGTGTCGGCATTTTTGATAATTGTGTTCCAAATTTATATGAGTATATGAGTAATACTAAATTGAATCCTATAATAGTCATATCAGTTTGCATCTTTTTAAAAACAATCTTTTTTTAGTAATTGCTACCTAGTCCAAATCACCTTTTCCTTTTTTTTTTTACAAATATCACAAATTGAAGTTTTGATGCACTTGAAAAGTTATAATTGTTCTATTTTCTTCAGAAGGAGGGTTATATTACTGAGAAGCTGTATGTCAGTGTATTTGGGTGGAACAGAGTCCCCAAACCAAAGATATATGACACAGACCCTATACCTGTTATGGGGTCTAAGATCATGACTTCAAGAGATGAAGAAGATGGTATTTTTGATATTATTCTGTTTCTGTTTTATTGTTCACATGAATATATATATTTTAGCTTCATATTTGACTTTTTTCATTGCGAAATGGGAAATCATCACATTTAAAGTGTATATTGAAAGAATGTACTCTATTTCACCTCAGTTTGATTAATAATGTTTTCATATTACAATTTTAATCTCACTTCATATTTTTTTTCAAGTCGTCTTTATGTGAGATAGTGTTTCTGCTATATTTTGGTGAATTTTAGCATATTATAAAAAATACTTGTAAAGCTTATGTTACTGCATTCCATTTTCTTCCAGAGGATATTAAAGTTGTATCCATAGCCTTTAACCCACAGATTGTGCAAGACTATGGCCATGAAGCTGAAAATCCTGCTGAAAGAGATGCTTTGATTAACCTGGGACTTGACTATGTACAGGACCAGCAGAAAGTGACCATCTCAAGGAATTACAAATTACTCGACGAAAGCACTCTCTATAAAGGCGACCTTGCCCAGCTTAGACAGGGCTTGACTCAGAGATTTCAAAAAGAGGATGATGAGTATAATAAACAGATGTCAGATTTGCAAAAAATGTTCGGACCTATTGCAGAATCAAATGAGAGCTTAATTGGACAGCTTTCCAATCTTACTTCTGATGATTCCAAAGTGAAGACATCTCCTCCTGTCCAAAAAGAAACAGAGATCAGAGTACCTGGGCTTTCAAAACAACCAAGTAAAAACACAAATAAAGCAAATTTGATCCAAGAGGTCTCCAGTTCAGGGGAAAAAGATGGACGCACTCCTAAACATGAGATGTGTGTAAAAGACAGCACTGGTTCCAAGCCAAGGAGAGTAGAGGTCAAAGTTCACCTGCCAGAAGTGGGTTCCGTTCAAGAATGTGAACTTGACATATCAGAGGCAAGTATTTTTTAATACGTCACAAGCATATTTTAATATGCAACCAAGGCAAATTGTCTTAAAGTTTAGAATAAGGGAAGTCACTGCTGTGACATTGTGGCTAATACAAGTTTATTCAAATAATTTCTATGAGGTATAAGACATTAAATATTACAAAATAAAAACCAGATTTTTCCTAAGATTGTTCAAAACCCAAAATCAGAATTCAAGTGAGAGAACTTCAGCATAACATTTTGCTTTTATTTCATTATTCAACTGTTTTGACAAGACCATGTATATTGATGTTGCAGGATGATTTATCCCTGACAGTAGCTGAAAAATATGAACTGAAAGTAACATTCCCAGAGAAAATCAGAGACACATATTCCAGTGCCAAGTTCAGTACCAAGTCTCACACATTAACAGTGAATTTACCTACTATCAAACAGAGCTGAGGGCCTCGTGGCAGCAAGGCGCAATGTTTTTTTTTTTTTTTTTCTTTTTTGCTGTCAGATGGACTAACAAATTAGTAGAAATGTTGAAATGGACAGAAGCATCCTTCGTTTTGTTCTTACAGCATCTTTCTATTAAGTGACCTGTCAAGAAGATAGTTTGCGCTGGGCTGAGCGACTTATTGTTATGCAAATCACAACAGGCTTGGCCCATTTTGACTGAAGGGTTGTGGTTAAATTCATTCTCAAAGAATGGTGAATCTACCATATATATGGGCTTACATTAATTTTTTTTTTTTTGAGTTCATATTTATTGTATGTGACGGAGAACTGTCATGTGACAAGGTGAAAATTACAGCACTTTTTGATTCAATTTAACTTGAAAGCCTACTGCATAATCCCCATAAGGAATCCTTTCAGTGTCTTATAGGGGATTATTCAGCAAACTTTCAGGTAGGTGACGTAGGTCAATCATATTTGCTCTTCAGATCTGTTAGTCCGCATATCAACTTTGGTTGTGAATGTGGTCTGAGAAATAAAAATGAAGGTACTTGATCCACAGAATGGGGCTTTAGACTGCGATTTATTGGTGGCCCCAAGGAAGTGGTTCACTGTCTACTTGTAGGAAATGTCTTTCCTCATCACTTTCTTATTTTCTAATTATAGAACAACTGACCTGTATCATTTAAATCTGACACATTTATTTTTCAATCATGGTAAAATTTCAAGTAAACTTTTATTTCCTTTTCTATTGGCATGATATTAAGCAATTCCATGTTGACTGGTGGAAATGATTGTGCATCAAACCTACCTAAGCTTCTAGTCGATGTGTACCACTTACTCAATCTTCAAATGTCAGAGATGCCCCTATAAGCATCTTATCAGACTGTGGCACTCAGCAGCAATTTTATTCAAAGTTCACTGCATCAGAATATTCAGTTATTTTTATTCTGTTATACTTCACCTGGGCAGGTAATGTTGTTAATAGACTCCCATACCATTTTGTGACTGCATGATGCAATATTTGTCCATGTCAATCAAATACCAATGAAGTTCTGAAGCTTTCTATGGTAATTTGTAAATGTAGGAGCTGGTCCGCGTCAGCTCTGAATATCAACTAACCCCCAAAGCAGTTCTGAATGAATAAATGAATGAATGCTGCATTTTAATTTCAGTTATAATTTTGTTTTTCCTAATGCTATCATATTGTTCTATCATTGTTAGTTGTATCTCATGCTCCCCAGGCTGGGTCATATACCAGGGGGAAGAACTGCCCTTCCATCTTGTTGCCCTAAAATGTAAATGACCGAGTTAATACAATTTCAAACTATGTTCACATACACATATGGTATTGTGTGGTCATTTTTTATGACTTCCGGTGAAATACAAATCACTGAGAGCATGCAGCTTTTAATGTCAAATTCAAAATTACTTTGTACAATCTTTTTCTTCATGTTTTTAAATTGTAGAAATCAGATTTTCAAAAGAGCAGCAGTTGTTTCACTTGAGAGATAGTTTCATAATAATAGTAATTTAGACATATAAACTTTATCATTTGATATTTGAAGTCATAATAAGACACGTCCTGCCTTTAGAATCACAGTCACTGTAATTACATAAAAATCATTATTGATATTTACACACCTTTGGAATTTTCCCCTCATTCAGGAGTTCCTCAACAATATTTTCATCAGTATCTGTCCCACTTGTTGCTCTGATCATGAAGTCATCAGTGTTGCTAAGCACACCGTCAGCAAAATAGTTTAATACTGCTGCACGTCTTGGACCGTCGGACCTAAAGAAGTGCAAAAATGTACCCATATATTTGCCAGTTTTATCCTTAGGCTATTAAATAGATGGGGACCAACAGTTAAACTGAGATGTATAACCTTTAATACCAAACATTCATCTGTTGAAAACTGTCCATTTATAAACCAAAAATTAATGTTTTAATAAATTAAATAATAAATTAACCCATGAAGAACATTCTTGTCATCTATCAAATTAGAAAGATATATTAGTATGAATAAATGTGTAGTTATTGATGAAGGGAGAAAACTATTAACATTTTACAAATTGCATGCAAGTAGTGATAGAACCTTTTTGCCAATATAATTTATCTGTCCTTTTTTCTTTCTTCATATATAATACGTTAAAAACAATTTACTTTTTTATACCCTTTACACAGGAGAAGATGACAAACCAATTTCATAGAACTCACCTGTTTCCATAAGAGCCATGCACTGAGAGGGCATGGTGAAAGCTGGCGTGGCCTTTCTTCAGTAGACTGGGCACAGGCTTGAAGGCTGCCTTCTCCTCCTCTGCCAGAATTGTCTACAAATAAGAAAAGAATGCATTAAAGTGACAGTGACAGTTTCTTCAAACAACAGCATAGGTTAGAGTTTTATCAGTCCAATATTAAAATAAATTGCTCCCAGTTAAGCTACTGTTGAAGAGACTTTTATTGTAACACCTGAATAAAATGTTCTGCTAGAATGTACAGGTATTAAAGAAGTCAACTGAAGTTGAAATAAAAATGGAGGATAAGTGGAATGTCCTGAAGAAAGAATATCCCCTTACTGTTTGCCTGGTTATGATATTAAATTAGTTCTTATTTCTGGCATTTATTGAAAATTCCACTTTCAAATAAAACATGGAACCCGATCTAATGTATATAAATATAGCAATAAATTATAAAGTGAATAAAATAGGTTTAATAAAATCAAAAGATTCCCCCTACCTTAATACCTTCCATATCCTTGAAATTAAAGTCCAAGACAGGAAGAGGGCCTCCGTCTCTGGTCCACCTGAGCATGCAATGTTTTAAATGTTCCTATAACTCTTTATTTAATATCTTTTAAATATTCTTACTGCTTAAATTTTAAGTGTGGATTAATTCATTACATGTCTTTGATCCACACCTGAATCATTTCTGTCCACTTGTCAAAACAGGCCTCATTAAACTTCTAGTCCAAATTGAAATTTACTAGTCTAAGCTAGAATTGCCACTAGGCCAATTAAACTAGTCATTGTAAAAAGCCAGGTTTCTTTAAAAAATCCACTGCTGAATTTACTTTTCAAATGCGAAAGACTAGTGGCTGTCTCAGGTGGCATCTCATTTAGGATAGAAGATAATATTCTCAGTTCTAGATCTCACCAATTATGTGTAAAAACAGCACTAGCACTAAACAGATCTTGATCCAAAAGCCCTGATTAATTAATAAAAATAAAAAATTTAAAAAAACCTAATCAAATATACTTATAATATTATAATCATAGCTTTTTAGTTGTGGTACAGGGTGTCGAATTGTGGACCAGATTTTACTGACTTACTTACAGTACTACATAACTGACCTGTGGGATCCAGGTATGTACTGGAGACAGCCATTTTCTTCCGTCTGTTCATCGAGGGCAATATGAACCTGATGGAAGAGCTCTCATTATTTATCTTATTGGACTTTTAATTAATATCTTACTGAGGGTTACTGGCATAGTGATGTTCAATATCAAATGCTACAATGTAACAAACAGTGTCAACAAGTCGGCAAAAGAAAGAAACATCTTGATTTAACTTCTATAATGACTGTTCATAAGAACCTAAGACTAAGACTGGGTTCCCATTCCTAGATCGATCCATCTGGATCGGTGTAACTCCCTGGGGAGTCTCACTAAATTACCATCAACTAACCTGCTTAAATGTCTGTCATGCCTACATGTGCCTAATCAGCTAGGGGACAAAGATAATTACCTCCTAACAGCTTTACTAGACATTTAAGCAGGTTAAGTTGATAACAATTTAGTGAGACTCCCCAGGGAGATAGATCGATCCAAATATCTGTGGGAATGGTCCCTAAATTGTTTTTTCCCTGAGATCTTTCAGATAGTATATTACTAAAACCAATGTGACCACTGCACGGGTGTATGTATAGAAGACTAAGAAGTACAAAATAATTTAAATTAATTGACAGTCTGCATTTTAAATTATTCTTGTGATAAATTGGTTTTGTTGTCAGTCATTGCTGATGAAGACAATCTATACTAGAAACTCACTGTCAAATGCTTCATAGGGGTAGTTCTTGTCCAGTAGGAATAGTCTTGATGCCTGCGAAAATGAATAACTAAATACATCAAATCGTAATGATATTCCCGTGATGTTCATATATTGCAAGATTGTGGAATGCTTGTGACGAATAATATATTGAACTTCATTGTAATTAAGCTGTAGCCAGAACTCAAAATTCTCAAAAAGAATGCTAAGCCATTTCCATCATTTTTAAATTATTGAACACGTATAAAACAAAGTTTTGTGCAACACAATGCTGCATGCTACATTAGGGATCATGGTGATTATTAAATTGCTTCAAAAGTGACTAAAGCTATTTTACCCATGATGTATTGACCCTTCATTAAAGGACTTTGATCAAATGACTGATGACATTGTGAAGAGTGGAAATGTCATGGGTAAAAAACATGCTTAGTCTCTTTTGAAATGATAAAACTTTTTACCATCACTATATATCTGACAATGAAAAACTTTATCTCAAACAGGCCTGTAACAAGTAGGGGGTTCGAATGAACTGACCTTTTTGCTGGAAAAAGGTCAATATGGGTAAAATTTGATCCAGATACATGGAGGTTTTATGGTAAAAGGCCCACTTTTTCTGGAATAAAAAAAAAACTTTCAAATTCCTGTCTATCTGCCTGTCAAACAACATATACTATCCTTTGGCAGGGATAACTAGGAAAGGAACAAGTAGTATATTGTATACATACCATGCCACCACACCCCCATGCTTGGCTGGCTTCAGGAACAGCTGGTCATGCCAAAATCTGACTGCTGCATCAGGGTGACTTTCATCAATAAGTTGTGAGGCTGGGACCTATTATAGAAAACCTAAAACTGGTAAGTATGTCACTCAACTTGTATTTTATAATGTGTCTAAAAGCTGAAAAGCCAGGACCTATTTTCTTTTATATAAAATCATTGAAATTGTAAATGAAATAACTGCTGTAGCTCTTATCCTTTATTCTAAATACCCACAAGTTACATGTGTAATTTCAAATGGGAATGTATCTCAACTCCTTTCAAAGTCTAATTTTGAAAAAAAAAATTAAGAAAAATTAAACGTTAAATTAAATCTATTTAGATAGATAGACAGGAATTTGAAATTTACCACAACTTGGGGCAGGAACAGCAGGTCATGTAGGTAACTGGTGAGTCTCCAGTGTCCCAAGGTATGAATCAACACATTGTTAGGGTCGGAACTCTGGTTGGAGTGGTATTCATACAACATGGCATGGCCAGGATGGTGCTGATTGGGATCCTGTGGTGAAAACAGTATTCAAAGTAATTTTGGAACAAAATGATGGTAATTCAATTTTTCTTTCAATTAAGAGGTCCAAACAACCCACTTTGCAAACAATAATAAAAAAAGTAAAAATTTTTGTTAATATTTTTATTATTCAAACCAATGGGCAACCAATGTACTAAGAGTCAAAAGACACATGCTCTCAGTCTTGCATACCATAAAATACTTGAAATCCTGAAGAATTTTGTCACACTGATCTTCTGTAAGAACAGGAACATTGAGAAGGAATCCATCTCGCCAATACTGGCTAACCTGCTCTGGTGTTAACTTGTAGCTGCTCCATTCTGCTTTATCCTAAAACAAAATATCACTGATCATTGATGTATTTCCCTTTGAATTTCAATAATATAATAATGTCAGTATTTATATATTTTATTACTAGTATTTAAACTACACAGTATTGGTAGTCTTTTCAATAAATGCGCACCAATTAAACAGCTTATTATCGTCTATAACATGTTTTCTTCTATATAAAGATGTTCATTATAAAAATATTCTGGGTACAGTAAAAAATATGATATCTGTCAATCAATTTTACAAATACTGCAACACATTCGTGTTATTATTTACAAATATGTATTACCTTAACGGGTGGGAAGAGGTCTCCTGAAGGCTGGTGTAGTGTTGACCAGTCAGGGACACCAGGTTTAAAATCCCTGGGTTTCAATACAGCAGGTGCCGACATTGTCCACTGTGTTATTTCACACTGATATTAAAGCCCTGGATCACCCAAAAGCTTCCCATAAATGTAGGTCAAACTGCACAAGAAGTGGGGCACGAATCAAGGCCAGGGCAAAGATATCTTGAACTAGGAGCAATTTACATGAACGTCAGAAAGTGACGTTTTCTGGGACGGTGTTTGTTCATTCGTTTGGCAACAGCTGTGATAGCACAGTTCAGTACAGGCTGTATGTCTTAGCATACACTTATCTCCCATGATAACGCTTGTCTGTCTCTTATCTGGAAATGATGAGTTGTTCCTTAGAACCCGCAGAGAAAACTGTACATCCACCATTTTGAACTGTCACATGATATATCACGTGACAGTTTGGCTGTTTATTTTTCTTCCCTGTCTTCACCTTTTTACGTTTTTTCCTCATTATTTGAATATCCCTAATTTTTATTCCATTGTAATTTAATTTTGTATACAATTTGATACTCTTAATTGCATCGAACAATTTATTTGCTTTGAATAAGTTTGTTTCACTGTTTTGACTACCCTATTGTCTCACCTGTATTCAGGGGGGGTGTATCGGAACAGCGGCGACTGAGCAGCTTCCATCTTGAAAACTTTGTTGATTGAAAGCTTCGTTGCTGAAATCAGTGTTCTAAAGCAGGCTGCAGAGTGATGCTAAATAATTAAGAAGAAGGGATGGAAAAATTTTTGTAAGGTAGGATTTATATTCAATTCCAACATAACTGCCCGATTTTCAATCGCATTCTAACTTAGTTAAGATTTAAACTTAGTCGCCGACTAAACGCACGCCATGATCAAACAAACGGCCCGACTCAAGTACAGTGCTTTGATATGTGACTTTGGACGGTGCGTCGTTTCATTAAGATTTCCACTTTTAAGACAGATAATTGTGGGTGTATTTGTGCTCAAATTCGGAAGGCCAATTCCCTAGTGGTTTAAGAAGAGGCCTAATTTGGAGAAGTGATTTGTAGTAATTGATTATCGGCTGGAAAAGGGCCAGGCTGTAATGTAGCATGTCTAGATGGGATCAGACAAGTTAATAGCGTAAATTTGCTCTCGATGGGACACTGGGCGGCATTAGTGTATGTGGCTTTTACCTCAACAGTAGCCTGTAAACAAACTTGGAGCAAAAATGCCTATAGTTCATGTTGAAATATGAGTAAACGTTCAGTTACGCTTGGGACCCTGAAACATTTCTATGGATCCTAGATTACAAATTACAGATTTGAATCGAAAGTAAAAAAAAAAGGGGGGGGGGGATTAAATTTGATTTGATTATTTTGCTGGGCACATTTAGGAAGACACTGACTTTTTGTAGCTATTTGAAATATTATGAGAGATAAAGTTTACATTCAAGTACTAGTACTAGTAAATCTCACAATGAAAGTCTGTTTGAAGGCCCCCTTAACATTGTCATCAAGTGTTTATTACTCCCACCCCCACCAGGTGTGAACATGTTACCTGGCAGTGTTCTCTTTGATGGTTACAGTAGACTGTGTTCACTTTGTTATGTTATGTCACCTGTGGTAGGCAGATGCTCCCAGGGGACACCTTGCTGTCTCTGCCCCAGGGCCTCTGTGTGACAAACTATATGTCAACCATATCATTATCTTGTCATATTTATCTTAGTTTGGGATTGTGTCCTGGTTGGGGATGGTTTGAAGTTGTTTATCAAGAAAACATGGTGAAATTATAGGCCCAGAAGTACTTTGTATAGAAATTTTTTACATTAAATATTTTTGTAATACAAAAAGAAATGTTTGTGCAAGTTGGAATTGAGCCTGTCATCCTGTGCTGTTACAGTATTCTGCTCCCTGCGTACTGTCATATAGATTAACTAACATTATTGTAGTTCAATTGAGACATTTTGTGTCACATTGTCATTACTGAAACCTGATCTCAGTGTGAACTATTGAATCTAAACCTGGGTTTCCACTAGCAAGGTTTCCATTAGAATGTTTTCACATGGGACTATTACAAGACAAATTTATAGTCCAGCTGGTATGGCTTCACTTGGCAATCTGCTGTCCATATATGTGTTAAACTTATTTGTGTTTCTGGTCACCAAGTACATCATGCAATAAAATTACAGTGGCAGTTTGAAGGATAGCATCAGCACACTATTGTAGGTTTCCTTGATGTAGCAGAGGGTGCATAATACCAGTTCACAGCTATCCAGTATGCAGCAATTTAGTTAATGCATTTTAAATGTTTTTAATTATAGTCTAATATAGCAGTTTGCTTTTGTTCTTACTTTCATGATTATGTGAAGTGACTCATTTGAGCTAATTTTTTTATTTTAAGGTGATCAGTTTGTGAACAGGCTTCTATATTCCTCCATTTATCCATTTATCTGCATTTCCTGCCTCAGATTAACACATCATTTTATTCTGATTTACATGTCTGGGGCAATGTAATTAATGTAGTTATCACACTAATTATACACTGCACTTATCATTATTATTGTCTTTTTATTGTCACAATCTTAAAAAGAACATCTTGCTTTTTCCCTGCCCTGCCCCGATACAATACAACGTTATTTTGAGATGTACGTCCCCACCCCCACCCCACTGTGTTTTACTGGGATTGGCCCCTTGTATTCAGCACAAAGGTGTGGGACAGGGTGTGTTAAGTGAGCTCACTTTGGCATGGATTTTGGGTTTGCCAGGTAGTTGAGAATGTTATAAATTCAAATTAAAAAAAAAAAAATTAGTAAAAATAGTGATAACTTGTGATAGTCAGCTCAGAACTGATTTCCATTTCTCATAGCTATAGGGTAAAATATCTTTAGCATTTGACTAAATAATCTTCATACTGGCCTGAGCTAAGGGTTGTTTAAAGAAAAATGACTTGGATCAAGACAGCAAGGTGCAGAACAAATAAACCACAGTTATAATTGAATGCTGTCATAGGCAAGATAGTTGTGGTTTCATCAGACAAGAAAGATTTCCCTTCCAACAATGAATTGTTGCTTTGTAATTTATTGTGGACACATTCAAGAAAGTCCCTCATTTTCCTTCTTAAAAAAGTTTGATTGAACCACTGTTTTCGTAAACAAAAGAGCTCTATTCCATGTCTAGGTAGGTTTTTGTGCGTCAGATAATTGAAGCGTATTTTCGAGCATTGAATGGAGGAACCTGGTGCGGTTCTGTTAGCAGTTTTTTCCTTACATTTTTACATTAAACAATATCATCTGCAAACCATATGAGTCGAGTAAAGCCTCAAAAGTTACCACACTGCTGAACTCAACAAGATCCATGGTATTTAAGTGAAAAATCCTTTCCCAAAATTTAAAAAAAAAAAATTGTATTACAACAAGCCAGTGTCTTTACCTTTAAAAGTGATGCAGACTGATAGCTTAGAGTGGCTTGGTTGACATGTAAAAGTGTAGGGGAATATTATGTTACCTAAGCATGAAGTGTGCTGTAGACAGATCTCTCATATTGACTAGGTTGACATAGAGAAGCACAGAGGAATATTATGTTACCCTGACTCACCATTCAACATTTGTTTACAGACCTGAAAAAAGGGGGGGAAAACATACCTGGCAAGAATTGGTGAAGTAAAGGTAGGAGGTAGGATTCATGTGCCCTCAGTTACTAACTTCAGTATTTCTCACCTTTGAATTTACAAATACTTGGATATGAAGAATATATTGTGGCCAAGTATACCACTGCTGTGGTCATTATGTACTATACACAACTGAAGAACTGAAGTTGAGACTAACTTACAAGTATATGCAATTCTACAGTGGCATTATTGAAAGTAAAAAGGTTATAAAATGTAACATTGTCAGGCGTACACAAAATGATTGCTTGTATAGTGAATCTATGTCACTTTTTAAATTTTTGTACAGTAAAAAGATTGTATTGTGAAATTACAATGCTTTTTACATGGCCTGAATCAATTGGAGCTTTCCATCCAGCCTTGTTTTCAAATTTAAATCCTTAAATGGCACAGGTTTTTAAACAAGTCGGTTTAATAGCAGGCAAAATAGTGAGTTAAATGGGAAATAATGGCGATGCATTCATTAATCAGTCATCATGCCAGAAAGGATTCACACAGTGGTGGAAGATTGATGGCTCTTAATGATCATTACCATCAAGTTTCATCTCTGCACAGTTGAGAGAAGAATTTCATTATGGGACATATGCAGCTATGTTTTTTTTATGAAAAACACCTTTTTCTTATGCACTGGGCCTCCTAGACCAAATTCAAAGGACTGTTCAGACAAGGTGTGTACTTAATGAGTCATTTTAGAAGACCAGCTATAGTTGTCACAGAGATTTTCATACTGTAGTAACAATTGTTAGCCGATGAAAAATACACGAAACTAGTTGAAATGAATTCACTAAAGATTTTGTTGTCAGTTGTACAATGGGAGATATGGTCTTAGATTCATTACCTGTTCAAGTTGCAGCTTGTGTTAATGGGCCTTTCATATTGGGTATGAGACAGTACGGTTTATGAAATGGGTGAATTTTTGTTTAAACTCCATGGAGCTCAGTAGACAAATTGTATAATGTCAGGCAACAAATTACATAAACAATACAAGAAAAACTGCACCCTGACTACAACTAATGAATTATGTTGAATGGAAAGGTAGATGTTTTGTTGCACATTATATCATGTCGTTGTTTTTTTGAATGATGGTTCTGAAGACTATTTATTTCTTTAACATTTTGCGGTAATTTTCATTCATTAGACTGTTGAGACAGTTAAGCTGAAAGTAGAGGCATGGGAGCACAGAATTATTCAACTTCCTTTAACAACCACCACTGTAAGGCAGAAAATGTGGAAATATATACTGCTAACCATGTAACCAGACATGACATCCTACCAAACTTTCAGCTGGTTCAGTTTATGGCCTTGTTAGACTTATTAGACATTCTCACAGGGGCTAAGAAACCCCTTAGCAGTTTTGTCTGGCTGGTAAGTTTTTAGGTTTCTTGACATAATTGGTCAAATAGGTGATGAACGGATATCTTCAGCTTTCATGTAGGCTGAACCAGTTCAGTTTTCATGTTTTGTCCCAGGATGAAGGAGATAATATCTAAACTGCAGTCATTTTTAAGCTTCAGGGGGGCTGTGGCTACTGTTATCTGAGTTTAGCATCAAAAGTTATGGTAAAATAAGCTCCTAACTGTACCTCTTTACTGCCACCCAGTGATGTTATCAACAAATATAGTGGGTTTATTTGATAATTGTTATATGCTTATAAAAAATACTCAGCACCCAGAATGATGCCAGATAAATTGGAATAATTAGAAAGTATTGCAATTCTGGAAGGGTTTTAATTCATGAAGTATAGAAAAGGAT